ACTCACAGGTGTAAAAAGTTTTACTGTCCTTACCTAAGTGGTAAGTTTCATTTATGTACAATGTGTCTACATTGCATTTTTTAGTAACCATTTGTGATTTCCTTCAAAACTTTAATAAAACATTTAAACATTTAATTTTAATGGTTATAAGGACCAAACTACATAGCTTATAAAAAGTCTTATATTTGTTAACTTTTTGTTAAACGATTCCATTATAATTTGTTATATTAATGTTCCATGATTCACGAAGGAGGCAAATATTATGTACCTACAACCTACATACGCATAAACGGATAAATGCATAACTGCGTGTAGGTGACAAGATGTCTATAATAAACTTTAAAACTTCCCAAGTACTCAGCAGTATATTATAATATAGGTACTCGTCCAATATGCTATCTTCTGTAATTTAGTAGGTTAGGTAGGTTAGTAGGTATACCTTTATATCATACCTGTTTAGAGCGTGTTTATAAGTCGTGTTGTATTACATATTATGTATTATGAGTTTGTCAACTATGTGTCATTTATATCAACACATAGGTAATTCAAAATGAAGAGATGTGAGAATATTTTTTAAACATAGGTACTCGGTTATTATCAATCGACCAAACATGTACAAAAATTAAAAACCCAACAATTTGTGGTGTTTAAAAAAGTTCTAAAAAATAGTCGAAAACGTGATTCGAAAGGTAATATTTTGAAAACAATTTATTATCAATGTACGAAAAAAGGGAGCCAAACATTTTACTTCATACGCAAAAACGTACATCGATAAAAATGGGAAGTGTAACAATTAATAGTGAAAAAAAAAATTAAAAAAACCAGTGTGTGTGTTACCAGTACGCGCGCGGGAAGTTATACTTCTTTTGAACGGTACACGTGAGTGAGTGAAAAAGAAAGAAATGCATGGATAGACTGGAGTTATGAGGATAATAAAGAAAGAAAAGAAACAATGTAAATTATATTTTTTATATTTATTTTTTATTTTTATTGTTATATTATAATGATTGATTATCATGTTGCTCAATAAAAAACAAAAAACACTATGTAAATCATAACTCCTTAACCAAAAGTCGGATAACGTTGATGTCGGTACCAATCGATACAGCGGAAAGCCCTCTATAAGGCTCGACTACAAAAACGGTTCGACGTGCCTAAAAAAGTGTCCATGCAGAAACACCTTGAAAAACTCAAAATTTAAACTTTCAGGGCCCCGGAAGACGGGGAAAAACGTCTTATACAGTCTCGACACAAGACGCCGAATTTCATCACCGACCTTCGAACTATAAGAAAACTTGAGTTTCAGAAACGTAGGACGACACCTCGAGTTTTTCCGAAATAATTTTGAGGGGGGGGGGGTCAAAATTACACCGACTATGGTGGGGGGGGGGCAATTTAGAGGGTCTAAAGACAACACTTTTGGTGGTAAAACGGGGTACCCAAGTTGAAACCGGACCGAGATAATACTGAAATAAAAAAAAAGGGGAGGTAACTTTCGGTATACTATACAAGTGGCCAACCAAAACCCATAGCCGTTTACAAAATACTGCTACGACAATCCGCGGCTGCGCACACGGACATGTACGCGTTTGTACGATCGACGTTCGTGCGGCCGCCCGTTCGCTTTTTTTTTCCTCACTTCCCTGCGTAAATAAGTTCAACTTCAAAAAAATATAAATAATAATAAATAAAATAAAATATAATATATATATATATATTATAATATAAATAAAATGGTTTAAATTTCTGTGATATAGTAGAACTTGTTTGGTATTGGGTATTTCAAATAAAGGTAACACAAGCCGCGCGAGGTGTTTACGAAAAGATGAAAATCAACTAAGTCGATGGTAGATAAAATATTTACGGTAGATATCATACACTAAACCATCAAACGTGTGGTAGATGGCATATTGGACGAGCACCATAATATAAAATAAATACCTAGATATTTTTATAAATTTACAAAATATGTTGCATATTATGTGGCTATATTTATAGTATATCGTCTATATTTCTAAAATAGTAAGTATATTACACTAAACGTATAATGACCGAAAGTTAAGACGTTTACGCGTTTACCAATATATAATAAGTATTGTAAATATAACAGTATGACTTACTAAACACTTCGACTAAACTATGTTAAACACAAAAGCAGCAATCAAAAACTACAGTCTATCACTGAAAATCATATAGGTATAAGTCATTAGTCATCTTTCTAATGGAAATCGGGTTCTCTGGGTTTATTTCAACGCAAAATCATGGGAAAATTAATTTTAAATGGTTACTTAACAAAAAAATGAATGACTGTCTACCTACTTTTTGATGCATCATGCGTTTTTGCATTTTTTACTTAAAATACATCATACATTAATTATTAATTGTTAAGTAGTGGTAGTCATTATACCAATATTACAACATTTGTAATATCAATAATTAATAGATAGTATTATCAATACCTATATAATATTAACACATTTACACATATAATATACCTATACCTATAATATTATGTATGATTTACAAATTACAATAAATATGTATTTAATATTTCATAGGTCACAGAAAATCAACATTTCGGTATTGATCATATAACTACTTATTTGAGTAATGTACGAACATCTGGACAAACAGATAGAATACCTGTTTTTCCATTAAGCCATTTGGTTCATAACCAAGCAGGAGAGTATTTTTTTACGTACTTTGGTAAAATCGATAAACGTGGATGGTGGATGCAAGAGTGGCGTTACTCAGTGGATAGTGTTTACTAAAACGTGCGATGTTATTAGTGAACAGGTACGTCATATCACTTATATGACTATATACCAGATACCTACCAGATTTATATAAATAATATACTATACACATATATACCCCAGTTCAATGTACATTTTAAACGCATTTTAGAGATAAATAGATAATACATATTATTAGTAAATTTGTAATATAAGTAGATCATATCAACAGGGCCTTTCTTCGATAGTAATCATAGACTTTTTTGAGTAAAAGGTCTATGATAGTAATAAATTCCTAATTTTACAGTTTTAGTAAGTAGGTAGGTAGGTATTGGAGTAAAGCTGATTGTTTCTATAACGTAAATTCTTTCATTTTCTGTCTGTATAAAAATAACGAGATGACTTTTCAAATAGTGCAACAATCAGATTTCATATACTATATCACCCAATTACAGTGGCTCACACTAATTGTGAGGGGTGTCAACACTTTTTATGACCACCCATAATTTATAAAATTTCCAAAAAAAAATGTTTTACTCATTTTGTTATATTAATAACATCTCATTAGTTATTAGTTATTAGTTAATTTCATAATTTCATAATTTCATAATCTTCTAGTCATTCTCATCCATAACCCATTTTGATAGGAGTGAGCAAGTGACTGACAGTCATATACCCTTAATTTATTAGAGTGCGCCACGGACATTCGCCGTGCCAACACCTATAATCTACAAATAATACCATGGCCCTATATACCAGTTAAAAACGTGTAAATAGTTATAAATAAAAAAAATATTATTATTATTACCATTATGTACCTATTTTGTACTTCCCATATCCGGCGTTTAAACATAATATGTTAATTTAATCATAAATATTATTTATGATTAATAAAAAAAAAAGTCACACAGATGGATCAGTTCCGTAAGTTCCGTAGTTCCGAACAACAGCGGGCACTCGATCAATCGGAATTACCGGAAGGCCAACCCGGTGCCAGCCGGCAACGATACTCGTCCCTATCTGGTGGTGTTAGACGTCCGTGGCAGCAATTCGACGGACGGCGACGGAGGTGGTAGTGGCAGCGCGAGCCCGAACACGTTCCAGCGAACTACTGCAGACTTCGAGACGCCGATCGTTGGCTGTAATCGCATCGGCAAAAGACGGCCATTCGAGCTGGACCCTGTGCATCAAGCCCACCAAAACGCAACTGTTGAGAAGAATGTTGAACCTGAACAAACTGTCAGTCCACAAGCACTGGCCTCCAATTGCCATAATTAACGGCAAGCAGTCCGAACACGCGCAGAGGGCCGATGCTAAAACTGAGAACCATTTGCGGCCGACGTTATCGTTCAACGTGACCAGACCGTCGTGGAAGTAGATTGCACACAATAATTAATACTATGTACACCGTGCATGTATTATGTACGAAGTCTTACGACCAACTATTGTTGTTATGTATATACCTGTTATGTAATATACATTAACAGATATAATAACGTGTATTTTTCAACAGTTGTGTACGACTTTGGTTGGCCCTTCTTACCTACCCTACCTACGTTAGCCGTTTCTTATGTTTAAAGTTGTGTATCGGTTAGCTGCTACCTATGATACATAGGAGGTATCTACTTATAGATAAAATCAACCATTCTTACAATCTTACTGTAAGTTGTAAGTATACAATATGTATTAGCATTTTAACATCAAAAGAATATTAGTATTATAATTTGTTTAAACAACTTGCATGTGTAGGTACTTATACAGTTACCTATATATTGTATACCATAATATTGCCTATGGGTGTTATTTGGCGGGAGGGGACTTGGGGTAACCTATTCTTATAGTACCTATATAAGGTCTGTCATAATTTATATATGCGTAGATGTAATTCTACATGTTATATTTTAACCATTATTATTATTATTATTATAAGATTAATTTAATATTGAGCATTAACCGGAATGCTAAGTAGGTAAATTATTGCCAATTTTCTATCTGTGTGTAAAGTCAATAGGCAGGCTATATACAATAAATTCTTACAGGTGTTGCATTTTTATTACGATTCTTAATATTTTATTTTAGAAAATATTAATCAGTGTTATCCATGATTTATTTAAGATCTAGATTCTGTGTCATAGTATCTGTTTTCAATAATGTAAGTATGTATGCAAATGTAAAACCACAGAATATATTTATGAAATTACTTAATATAAGTTTGCCACACAATTGGATAAAATAAATTTTCTAAGTCTTAACTATTTTTCAATATTTTCAAAGTATTTGGCTATAGCGGCCACTTTTATTTTGATACAAAATGTCACAATTGATTGTTTTATAGACATTTTGCAATTATTTTAAATTTAAGAAATTGAGACTTTTGTCTGAATACATGTTTACATGTTTTTACAACATAATTTATAAACATAATTTCAACTTGAAACATTGATATATGTTTATTCACATATCAGAACAGCTCCATTTGTATGCTTCATCTTCCACAGCTTTCTGAGAATTTAGTTGTAATAGCCATTTCTGTTCATAACCATTTGATCTATCAACACCATCCCAAGCAATTCCTGGACGTATGCCAAACCTATTTGGCGGACAAAACCCTCGAAACTCTCTTTTTTCTAAAAAAAAAAAAAATGATTGAGATTTTTTATAATAAATAAATTAATATTAACTGTCGACTGAGAGTTATATTATTTGATTTATCCTTAAATATTCTCTAATCAGTTATTAGCAAATAAACACTGGTTCACAGAAAATTACATTGTATAGACTAGTACAATTTAATTAAGTAAATAAGAAATAATCAAAAAAAGAGAATTAACCAAATTTTTTTATGAACAGTTTTAATAGAATATTTAAGGATATTGACTTCACAGTCCCATTTATGAAAAGACTAAGAATTAAGAATTTACCATGTCTCACACCATCAGGAGAATCTTCACCTGATCCTTTATTTTTTGTTATATATTCGAGCATTGGATCCCCGTCTCTGATTTTAGACTTCAACAAATTCTCCAGGTCTTGATCATCTGCGTATCTTGCTAATGGTTTTTGCATTTCATGTAAATCAGACTGGTGTTGTTCCTGAGCATCCTTTACTTGTTTTACACTAAAATTATGAAGTATTTATAAAATATGTCTTATTCAGTCAGCATAAGTCAGTTAATCACTAAGAAATTTAACTAAATTAATAATTAATTTTAAATAGATTATAGTTGAAATATTAATATTGTTCGGCAATTACATATAGCCGTTAGCCTGTATAGTGTATACATATTCATAACTGAGTGGGGGAAATAATAACAATAGTAATAAACAGATGATAACGATAATATTAATATGTTATGAAATACATTAATAGGTTAGATATTGTCTTAATGGTGATAATAATTATGGGGAATTCATTGTCATTTTACTTAAAAGAAAGGAGAAAAAACAATTTGAGGGTTCAATAAAGTTTTTTTTAATCGGCAAACTGGATATTGGATTGGAAATATTGTTTGTTGGTTGCCTACTGTTATGTACCAGTCATAGACCTGGATTTGTTTGCTAATTTAAATATTTATTTTAATACTTAGTTAATGGTTTCATCAATAATTATTAACAATGTGTAAATAAAATTAGTTACCCTTTTCCCCATATAGCATATTTTGCTTTATGCTCTTTTAATATTTCTTCTTTTTGTTTTTCTTCTTCTCTTTCTCTTTTGAGATCTCGTTTTTTACCAGTTTTTCGGTCACGTCTAATAGGGATACCATTTTCTATTGACTCTTCGTTTTTCTAAAAATTTGGAATAATATTATACTCTTTACAGCTGTTTATTTTGAGATTTAACTTATAACTTTAATACCTCTTTTATTAGATCATTTAACGTGGATTTATTAATTTGTCGCACATAATTGTTGACTTGATCAACGTCAATTTTCGCAGAATCTTCTTCAATGTCACTATCGCCACCTACTCGTTTCCACCGATTTTTATTTTTGTACATGTCCAATGTTTTAATATCTTTGGGTCTCTCATCAATAACACCCACTATTTGAGGGGCAAATTCATCAACTGGATCGAATCCAATGTCATTTTCATTTTCATTTTCAACACAATCAATATTGTCATCAATAATTTGTACTCTACAACAGAAATGTCAAAAAATTAAGTATTTTTGTTCGTAACATTAGATTATAGTGGTATAGTTCTTAATACAATTGAGTGTAGAGATAAATTTCATTATGGTATTATATTTTAGTTTCAAATTTATATTAGATAAACTGAAAGAAAATATTTAAAAATAATAAATAATGAAATTTCTGCTATAAAAGATGCATATTTTGTTGCTTTTTTTAAAAAGTTGCCTGCTATGTGACTGCCAGCGGTTATCCATAATTATCAAATTGTATACTTTTGTAACTGGCACATCTGACAATCATAGCTGCCAAGCCACCAGATCGCTGACGGTTAGATTAATATGGTTTTATATTATTAACTATACTCCAACAATACACTAAAAAACTGGCGAAGCGGAAATCAATACAATTTTTATAAATGTAATAAACATATTTTTAAATGTTTACTTAAATTCAATTGTATATTATACAAAATTCGAAATTAAATTATATAACGATTGACCACTGAAGGTCACACGGCAGTCAACGTGTTAAAGTATAAATGCATATTTAATAATTTGTAGTGCTTATTTTATAAGAATAATATATATGTTTAAATACATCCATATTTAAGCTTTTTTAAGTTTATATAAACATACAATCTTTAATTATAAACAAATTGAAATTAAGTTACTAGAATGTAATGAAAAATTGAACGCAAATAAAACCTAAAATGTATATATTCACTAAATCACACTTAGAAATAGGACTCATGCCCTTGGCCGTATTTAAAAAAATACCTTTTTTGAATTTTAGTCTTATCTTTTTTCTTCTTTCCGCCCGAAAGATATCTTTTTAGATAATCCTTTTGGGATATAACTTTTTTTTTAGTCTCTGAAAATATAAAATATATGTTTTTAATAAATAAAATGTAATTTAAAACACTAATTAAGTTATGCTAATTGTTTACATTGACATTTATGATGCTACCTTGGTGGTAACCTTTGAGTATTCATACACCAAGTGCCAAGTGGTACATTTTATTCACTCTTAATATTTAATCTAAATTTTAATATACATTTTGAACCACTTGACTCGATTATGAACATATCTGGTGGGCAATAAATATATTATTATTTATTATCATCAGTTTTAAATGAATTATCACTAAAAATTTTAAATTTAAAGTATACAATACAAAACCTATACGAAATACACTTGCAATTTAAATATTAAAAACAACAAGCAAAATTAAACCAACAATAAATAACTAGATGTACAATATGAAGAAAATTGATTTTTATATCTAAAAACAATATCTTCATAGTTTATTATCTTTTCATTATTAAGTGGATAATTTTTTGGAAAATGTTAAATGTAAAATGTACAGTATTCAAAAATCGAATAAGTATAATTTATTAGTTATTGAAATCTTTGAACTAAGGATAATAGTCCTAAAAAACAGTTTTACAAAAATATAAAATTGACGTAATATAGGAACTAGTTTTTATTATACTTGGGCCATTTTTACAAATTATTTATGTTAACAGATTAATATTAATGACTAAAATGTTCAATCCCCATAGCTCAAATATCTTGCCCATAACAATAACCATGGTCCTTTTATCCTTAGAACATTAAGTTAAATAACTCAAAATCTAGTGGTACACATTTTGATTCTAATACTTAACATTTTTCAGAAAAATTATTTACTGAATAATTTACAGTCAAAAAGGGAGGTCCTCGTGAAAAACAGAAGTTTGTATATTCACAGCACATTCTTTAAGTAGTACAAATAATATAGATTGCATGTAAAATTAAAAATTCTAAAAATTTAAAAAAAACTCTTTATTGAAGAACAAAAAGAGGATGAGCATGCTTGGTGGATTACCCTCGCTCGATATATATATAAAAAGTTAATTTGTGTTAATCAGTTAATTTGTGAGGTATTTCTGTTACACCTGTATAATTTTTAGTATTGCATAAGTGCGGGTCTTCAAGATTTTTAATGATAAGTGTAAAGCTTTACGTATGTCATGTATAAACAATAAGTTGTAACTGATATTTTCTAGATTTTTTATTAGTACTTGATTTTCTTTTAGTTATTTATGTGAGAAACTATGTCTATTTTCTTTTAAAGTGCACCACATTCTAAATATTGTCAAATAACAAAATTTAAAATAGTATGTACATAATATATTTTTAAAAAAAACAAAATCATTATTTTAATGTATGATAACCGTATTTTCTAACATAGTAGAATATGAAGTTCACCCATTATAAATAAAAAAACATTTGACAATGACTGTTTGAGTAAACATATTTGAGACTATCGCAACTCAAATAAAACAATTAATGTACTTATTAACGTAATAACTGTACATGCAATATAAAATATTGCACACAAAGTTAAAGAATTAATTTAAATTTATAAAAAAAAGTCTGCTTGATATTTACTAGCCTTTACAATTTAGAGGATGTTAGTTCACTATCTGTTTACTTTGACCTTTTTATAATATTTCAATTTTTATGGAAGTTATGAGTATGTAAAATGTTATTATTTAAAAATGCTCATATCATGTTATAATACTTAAATATTGTAAAAAAGTCATTATAAGAACACAGTTAATGTTCTTAATTTTAAATTTCATAATAGATAAATTTCACAATACTAAAGCGAACAATATAAGGTTGGTTCTGTTGAACGGTGATTTGCTATATTGTGCATTGGTCAATGAGAGAAAACAAATAGTGAGCTGACATACTCTAGAATGCAAAAAACACAATATTTTAGAATTTTTAATAACCAAGTAAACAAAAGTTTTTAAATTAAAAAATAATGTTTTACTCACCTTTTTCTGACATGTTTTCTACTGTACCGTCAAAAGGAGCGAATAGGAACTGAAGGTGCGATAGGAACAAACTTGGAAAAAGATTTGTTTTATTATTCTCTTATCACGAATATTTAACCGATAGCATTAGTACTAATGTCGTTTGGTACTAAATGTATTTTAGACCAATTTCGATATATTTGCAAACCGGATGGTAGCTGTTTACCTCCAATGATAACACGTTATCAGTTATCATTTTTGGTAGAAATCAAATTAATAAATTAATAATATTTGTTTTTAATTATTTTAGTACTTTATGAGTTTATAAATTAATAATAATAATACTTATCAATTAAAAATTGTTCATATTTTCACCATACTACCTACCCAGTTCAAAATTTTTTTTAAATTTATATTTTTATAATTTTAACATCATATTATATGAAGTATTTTGATACTTAGTGCATAAGGATCTACTAATAACTTTCATTATATTAGAAACTAAACTTACTTTTAAGCGATGATTCGTTATATTAAGGTCTGTTTTAAAAACATTTTGCTTCCCAAAACTGAAACATGTTAGTCTGGCAGAAACACTATATTTATCTCTTATTATAAAATTAGTTAAAATTAAGTATTACTTTGTAATAATGATATTAATCATCAATTTTTTACCGGTTTTCATCATCAAAATTACAACCTTATAGGTACCTATCATTTTATTATATATTATTATTTCGAACTACAGAGTTACAGAATTCATTTTATTCATTTGTTGTAGCATATAATTGTAAATTATAAAACATCTTATATATTTAATATATTTTTATAGTAAAAATATCAATTGTAGTATAACAGCATGTATGTGTACAGAAAATAAATTAAGTACATAAATAATAGGTTATAACAAACAAATTAATATTCCCCCGAGAGTTTGTTACAATCGATTTTCATTGTATTAGTAATCTGTAATATGTTTTAACTTTTATTTAAGTACAAAAAAACTTTATAATATGTGCATGAAATAATTCCTTAAATTTCTAATTAAACTATGTATTCAAATGAAATGAAAACAAAATATATACTTCATGAGTGTTAAAAATGTAATGATAATTTAGTTTTTTATTAATAATATTCATTAATCAAATAATTATTGTGTGTATACCTATCTATCAATAATTATAATGTGTATCTTAAAACCGGGTGAATAAAAACACTTAAAAAGCTTAAAAAGCTTATTTAGTTGGAATGGATATAACAAAACTGCATATTATAACTTCGAATTTGGGTCTTGAAACAGAATAGGTATACAATTCATAAATATTAAAATGTATTTTATATTTATTTATAATTATGCTTCATACATATAAATTGAATATGATTTGTTATTTATCATGTTCAATTGTGAATAGAAACAGTTTTTGAAGTAGTAAAAAATACAAAAATGTTATTTCAATTCAAATTTCATATATTTTTTTTAAAACATGATTTAACACAACAAAATCAATTCTTTCTTTTTTAAAATATTCAATTAATAAGTCAAACAGTAGTTTAGTTGCCTTATATGAATTTAAAGCAACTAGTTTATTAGTTGATACAGTAAATACATAGTATAATTCATAACGATAGAAATAAAATAATAAATAAATTTTGTCTTTAAATGATAACAATTAACAGCCTTTATACTGCATGCAATAAAAACAATTTTTAACATTTTTCATAACAATTTAATCATAATGACTTGAAATTTAATTTAAATGTATACAAGCTCCTCTTTTAAGGATTATTTAATTTTCCAATTACCTATTTGGTCAAAATAAAAATTATATTCACCTCTGACCATTGGAAAACCATAAATTGATCCAAGTGGTCTTCAGAGTAAATGTGTCTCAAAAAAATTCCATCAAAGTTCTAGTGTTCTACGTTACCATTTTTTTTTTGCTCGATTCACAAAACTTTATTTGCCACTTGGCTAGGTCACATTCATTTGGTATTATAAGACCCCAGCTCCAAGATTCTAAAAACATTTTAATTAGTTATGTTTCTAACCCTGTATTCACACTGAAATTAACAAATCTAAGTTCATCATTGTATTATAAATGGTACAATAATTATAACCATTTTATATTTAAAAGTATAAGTTTTGGTTTGGAAGTAAAAGTAATATATTGTACAATTATTGACAACATTTCCAATAATTTCATAAAAGAAAAATACACATAAATAAAAATTGTTAAGAGATAGAGATTGTTAAAAGTGGTTCTCAAAAAGTGTTTCTATTCAACTGGTTTTAGGATATTTTGATTAAAAAAATACACCTAACAAGATTGATATATAGTGTATAATGTTAGTAACATACATTTATTAAAAAAATTAATTTACTCCAAATGTTAGTGTATTGGTAGCGGTATACAGTATATTGTACTCAATGAAAATGAATGAATGAAATGTTAATAATTGATATATATATATAATAAATAAATATTTAATTTTAAAAACTATTCGGGAAATGAAGCTATTTTCAGCAGCAACTAATGTGGGAGTTGAAAAGCTACTAAAAAATTGTTAACTAAAAATGTATTAACCTATTAACCATATTTATAAATAATTTTAAAAGTAATTTCTTAAAAATGTTTAAAATCTAAATGTTACATTACTTTGGTCAAAAATACCAAAATTTTATTCACAATATGTCAACATTTATAATTAAACATAGTCACAAACAAATAATAATTTCATAGTGTGTCGAAAATTTTTTTCTAAAAATATATATTAACAATATTATCTCTGCATATTTTTAAATTGTTATTTTTGCTGCTAAAACTATGTGACAATATTCCAATATTTTCTGATCAAAATCTTAACATTTTGTAACAATATTTAAATGTTTGCAACACCTTAAAATGTTATCAAAATATAATTTTACTGTGTGGTTAAACTATTATTTTCATATTTAACGCAAATTGAATAGATTTTTTTAAACTGTATGGTACTGGAAAGATGGCGCCACTGGTATACCCATTTACGTATGTTATCTGGCTTGAGGGCATCATGATCTATGCAATTAATATTTTTGTACAAAGCTACTGTACAATACTTTCCAAATGGTTTATCAACTTTACCCCACTATTTATTTTTTTATAAGTGGAGTATTTGGGTATTAATGCATATAATATATATGGATATAATATTTTTGTAGACTATACTCCATAAACCTACATAAATTCTAAATATTAATCGCTATTTCTTACGAACGTAAAATTTACATTTTAAAAATGAGTTGACAGGATTTTCGTTCTATATATACAGGATGATAAAAGACCGTCAAAGTACCGTCTGTTTCAGAAATATATTTTTATATTGATCAGGTGCGTACTTTTGTTTCGGTAAACAGTGATATAAATACGCCAGAAGTATCAATGGCAATAAACAATATTTCTAAGTTTGTTAAAAATCTTATTCAAATTATAAACAACCCACAATAATAAATTATTTTTCAAACAAATTGTAAGCATATACTATATAATATATTATGTACTTTTATTAAAAATTATAAATGCTTTAAATGTTAAAATATGAAATCTTAAATAAAATTAAACAGTAAAAAATTTGTTTAATAAATCAATTTTTCAAAAAATTCATGTTACTTTTTATGATCCGCATGTAACGAAGGTCAGTTATAACTATCAGATTCCCTAGGTCCCTAGAAGATCGTTATAAGCGAATTGGATTACTAGGCAATTTCTGATTTTAATGTCTGCATCACGCATGTATGAATTATTTTATAAAATATAGAGGCTTTTTATAATGTTGGTTTTCAATTTCAGTTTTTAATTGAACCTTGATATAATATTAAATTTAAAATTCTATGAATTACATTTACATTTATTTTGGCACATCAGATTTTAAATTTTCTCAAAATTACAATCGATCTTTAGGAAATATTAAATGTTTAATTTTCTACCGCTTTTAGTAATTTGTATAGCTATGCAAAAAAAATTTCATTTTCAGTGACGTATTGACAATTGGGAGCGTGTGCAGTTGAAAGTAATATGGAGTACGGACTAGCACACACTTATGTTCATTGTATATTTATTACTCACACATTAAGACAGCACAAAATAATATGTACATGTAACATGTCATTTGAATTGCCTAAATATTACTCCTTAAAAAAAATGCTACACTCAACACTATTTCTTAAAAATTTGTATTCGCAAACGGAAGCCTAATATGGCTTTTGTATATATATACTCATATATAGTTGTCATTGGTTACCTACAAAACATGAAAAAGTTATTATGATTGGAATAATTGAATATAATTAAATATTGTATAATTTATATTAAAATAATTGTCATGGCAACTTGATGTACAACATAGTTGGCGGGAGTTATTTTGAAAAAAACTCAATTTTCTTAAGGGTGATTATATTATGTTATCTGTTCAAGGATTGGCTCACAGCTTTGAAAATCGGTTCTTTTACAGTTGAAAAACGACTCAATCGTCTTAATTTTTAATTGTATTTAAGTATATTGAGTATTACATATTTTATACCATGTACGCTACTCTGATTTTTATAATTAAATGTAATATTGCTTGAAACACTCACAGGTAAATTACCCTGTCTGTCTGTCTATTTATCAGTTTGCCCAGGAAAGGCTTCGAAACAGATGAATCGATTTTGAAGAGGTTTTCACAGTAATTATAATACTCAGTGAATAAAACAGTTATTATAATTGGATAAAATTTTATATCAGTACCTATTTTATACTTAAAAACAACAAAAATAACTGTGTTAAAAATCTGTAAAGTTTACGTATAATAGAGTTTATGAAGACCAACCACAGACAACGCCAGGCAGGATCATCTAGAATAGTACCTAGGTATATATTTATAATTTTTATCATATTATACCTATTATTTATTAATATTGTTAACTTTTTAATTAATACTAACTTACTGTAGAGCAGTGTGTCGACGTGAACACATGGTATACATCATACAAATATTAGAGATGGATAAAAATAAAATGTCCATTAAAATATAAATATCTGTTAAAATATATCAAGTAACTCTATCAAATTTTTAAATACCTTTTGTATGCTGTATGTATGTCTTATGAACCAACAT